TGGCTTCACTGAGTTACGCAAGCCCCTTCACCACGACAAGGCAGTGATCCATGAAGGGGCCAGATATGATAGACTAGCTTAAGCAAACAGTTTGTTTAAGCTAGTCTATCATATCTGGGCTTTAAAACTCCAGAAGACCACTGGATGGTCCCAAAGTAATAGAAAACTCTAACCATACAGCTTAAAAGATTGTGTTCCTGTAAGCATGACTATAATTAGAAAAAGAAGGAAATGCGACAGACAACATAGAAATTATATGTGATTTCTGGATTTCAAGCATCCTCTTTTTCAGATTAGCAAACTGTGTGAAAGCACAATGTTTAATATTACCTGTTCTATACCTAGTCATTGCAAAGTCTGTAAAAAAAAGAAAGAAAAGGTATTAGTGTGCTATTTTCTGTCATAATAGTTTAATAAGTTTTTAGTAATGCATATTTTAAGGTATGTCAAACTTATTTGATTATCTATTTGCACATACATGTACATGATTTTATTAATGAAAACAACTTGAAAGAAAAGTTATAACATAAAAAAAGTAATAACTGCATCCCATGTGGGACTATAGCCACTCATATATTAGCAGCTGGTATATCAAAACAGAAAATATCATAATCAACTTTCATTTGACTTCACATTTCTCTCTAACAAGCTAGTTATATGTACCTATCTGCCTTTTTAAAAACCTTAATTTTATGAGCTGCTCCATCTCTGATGTTATCAGGAAGTAAGAATAATTAAAGACAAAGATAAATAACCAGGTTCAGTTTGATGCTTTTAAAAATGTTAAGGGAATGGGAACTGCAAAGCATAGTGATTTCCCACATATCTTGTTGTAGGAACTAACCACCTCAGGGGGGCACTCCAAGTTAATTTTAGAGATTACATCTGAACAGCGGTTACATGATTCAGATTTTTCACATAAAGGCATGGCCCTCTTACCAGATGAAATTAATGACCAGAGCCCCTGGTTTCTCTAGAATTCCAAGTATTGCAGTTTTCTTTATGAAATAATTATCAATTATTTTGCCTTTTAAAAAGTCCACACTGGTGTATTATATTTGGCTAAATAATGACTGTGGCAACATACAGAGCATAGTTAAAGTGGATCCCTTAGTTACCTAAATGATACCCAAGGTGGACATGATTAACTTAAGTGAGGGTGCTTTCAATGCAACTGCTCTGATGAATTCTGCAAATTGTCTGAATTTCTATTGATTCAGAACCTGAACAAAAAGCCATCTTTCTCTATTCAGAATAGTCAATAGATGCGTTCACCATCCTATTCCTCACTTCAGGTTTTTTTCCCCCCTGTGAAAAGAAAAGAAGAGCTGTTCTACCTCATCTGGCATAATGGCTTATAATTTGGTGCATATTATAAGACTGTAGCACAAGCAATGATGACAAGATGGGTCAACAGTTCAACACATTCCTTTTTTTCCTACTTGTTGCTGATACAATAATAACCAAGACGGGAAGAGATGAATGGGAAATGTGTGCTAAAGGGTGATGCCCCCAAATACCTAGTAAACATGGAGGAAACCTAACTGAGATTAAAGGGCTAGGTAGAACTGCAGTTCTATTTAAGTGAGAGCCATGTACTTGGCTAAATAAGATTATTGCTAAAGAGGTACACTGGCCATATGCTCAGACTGGCCAACCTCCCCCAAACTCAAATGGGCCATCAAGTAAATTTTGACTTCTGGTGATTACAGGCACAAATTGTATAATCAGTTTTCTTGGCAACATTATTGGAAGTGATTTTGGCCAGTATCATCTTCTTCCTAGGACTGAGAGAGTGATTGGCCCAAAGTCACCCAGCTGCCTTCTGCGCCTAAGACAGGACTAAAACTCATGGTCTCCTGGCTTTTAACACAGTGCTTAACCCCTTGATTGGCTCATTTTGGAATTAGGGCTCTATAATTCGTAGGAGTTAGCTATTCATAATAATTCACTATTGGCTGCAGTGCTTACCTGTTCTAAAGGGTTGCAACTTTTACAAAAAGATCACTGAAACCTGGCATATGTGACTTAATTTGGTTAAGAGGCAATCATATAATTCTGCACATGGCAGTATAACTATTTGGTTCCAATAGAATTTGAACATCTTATATCTTGGAAGGTTTGTGGTCTCTGTGTATTAATTACAGGTAATCCTCGCTTAATGACTGGCCTGTTTAGCAATCATTCAAAGTTATGACAGTGCTGAAAAAGTAACTTTACAACCAGTCCTTGCACTTACAACTGTCGCAGCATCCCTGTGGTCATGTGATCGAGATTTGGGTGCTTCGCAACCAGCAGGCATTTACAACTATTGCAGCATCCTGTGGTCACATGATCACCATTTGTGCACTTAACAGCTGGCTTCCAACAAGCAGAGTCAATGGAGAAGCCAGAAGTGAAACTGAGGAATGCCACTGTGCAGGGCAGCCAAAAGGGCAGAGATGGGGAGGAAATAGGCAGGGTGTGGAGTTGAAGCACCTCTGTGGTCATAAGTGCAGGCTGGCTGCTAAACACCCGAATTTTGATCATGTGACTATGGAGGCGCTGCAACATCCATAACTTCAAGGACTGGGCATAAGTACCATTCATTCAGCACCTCCATAACTTCAAACAGTTGCTGTACAAGTGGTCATAATTCGAGGACTACCTATATTTCTTCCTATGCTAAAAAGACTATGGTAACAACATTTTTGTATGGAAATTGAAAATACATGAGGAAATGTTGTCCTTATGTTTGAAATGGGTCAATGGAGTATTGATTAATCTATTGTTCCCCTGTAACTGATGTAACTGAAAACTCTTCAGATAAACAAACAGAGCAACAAAATGACTTCTGGAAAAAAAAGATTTAAGAGAATTTTATACCCAACCAGAACTTGCTTCCACATAATATCTAGCTGCCAAACAAGCAGCAACTGTGTAGTTTAAAATGCCATTTGTTAAGTCATGGGAACTGCCACACATACACACACACAAAAGATAAAATTAAATATCCAGATGTACTTATGGTTCTTTCCCATGTATACATATCAATTCTCAGCCCTTAGTACTAAAATGCTGTACAATTATGGAAGCATATCCCATTTATTTCCATTTCAGATCAGGATTTGTTTTGGTTTTTTAAACTTTTCCAGAAGCTAAGGAATGTTGCAATTACACAATATCAAAGAAACAAGACACTAAATCTTAATTACTCATCTTAAGGTTGAATGACCCAAAAGCACTCAAGTAGGCAACATAACCATCTCCCTATTTGTCCATATATTTCTCCAACTTGAGGGCGAGTCTCTCAGTCCATTCTTACACAGAAGAAATACACGAGGCATGATGTGACCATGGAACAAATACTCTCCTTTACTGCTGACAGATTTTCTAGCTTTTTGCCTGCTGGTCAGACACTGAATCATTTCAAGATTTCTTTCAATGGGAAGTGGTGTAAAATATTTTAAAGAAATGCAATAAAATAATTTGTTCTAATTGTAATACAATTACAGGAAGCGTGCTATGTGGAAGAGCCTTTGTGTGGAACATAGGAGGTGAGAATGTGAGCAGTGAGGATTTCTTATGAAAAACTCATGAATGAACCACCATTGGCCCATTTATTTGCTTGTTTATGTTATATATTAGGTTTATATTCTGTCTTTCATTTTGGGCTCAAGGTGGTATACACACTGCTCCTTCCTCCCAATTCCCCCACAGCAACAATACTATGAGGTGGGCTGGGGTGAGAGGGAGCAATTGGCTGAAGTGCTTTAGTGGCTGGGGATGGAGTTATGACATCACAAGTGCATAGAAAAGGTGTGGCCACACTGCTGCTTTCCTCATTCTGCAAAAGGAGGGCATTCCTGCAGATGCTGCAGAAGGAGTCATGATCCCACGCTTGTAGCTTCATGATCAATTGGGCCTTCCTTTCTCACAGCATATAATTATCTTGGAGGGAAGGGGGAAGAGCACTAATGAAGAAAGAAGGATTTTTAATACACATAAGGAAAATGAGGAGAGGTATTATACAGAGTGTGGCTTAACTTTCACATTTGGAACAAAATCTATATTAAATCTATTAGGTATTGTACACATTGTTATTGATCTAGCTGGGGGTAGATTTGTTTAAATAACAAAGTATTCTGCTGTTATAGGAAAATATGTGAATGACTAATGTTTATGATGATGCATTGTACAATCAAGTGGGTTTCCTAATGCCATTTTATTCCAATATGTTGGAATATGCAAAAAATATATATTGGGTTTTTTTTTTAAAGCAAAACAATGTTTTACAATAGTGAAACAAACTATTTATATTTCACAGCTGGATATGAATAACTTATTTTGCAAAGGTTGTATTAATTCAAAATTACCTGTTGGTGTAAGCAGTCCAGATCCTGTAAAGAACAAAAGAGGAAATATGAGGCATTTTGCATACATTCACCCAGGGTATTTAATAAACTTCAGATAACAGCTGGGAAATTTTTAACTTTTTGAAGGAAATGCTTACATATTAATATTTTTAAAATACAGTGCTGAAAACACGTTTGGCATCTTTTTAACTAATCCCATACCATCCCATTCTCATAAATCAGGACTGGAGAAAGCCATGTAAATCAGGTTTGCAGATACAGAGCTGGGGAACAGAGAATTTTGCCCAGGCCTAGGGCCCCAAGTGTGTGAAGGGCCCGTTTCATGGTTCTGTTGATACCGACAGTTTTTTAAGATCTCTTGGCTGCATTTAAATTATATGTAATTTTTTGTACTGTTTTTAATGGTGATTGTTTTTATTGTTGTTAGCCATCCAGAGTCACTGGTCTGAGATGGGTGGCTATATAAATTGAATGAATGAATGAACGAATAAATAAATAAATAAATAAATAAATTGTATAGCATCCGATCCTGTAAGTAGCTGAAGAAGACCCTAAGTATCTGGAACTTAATAAATATACAGATTCCTTTGATTATACCCATATTGTTCAAATGAATAGTAGGGAAATCCTATCAGCTCTCCTGCTATGATGCCCTCCTTGATGATGGAGCATGTCATGTTTTCAGCTGACCCAATTCATGTTATGTTCAGTTATGGCTAATATAGCCAACACTTCTGAAGGGCACCAGTTGGAGCAGCTGTGCATATGGATGTTGAATTGTACTTTGAATCTCTAGGTTTACTTCATAACTTGCTTTGTGTGGTATCCATGTGAAAAAAAAAATAGAGAATGAATCATACCTGCACATCTGACCCCAACATTTGTGTTGCTTCTGCAGCCTCCTTCTCGAAAAGAACATTGCCATAGGTAGTCTTCACTGCCAGTACAGTACACGTTGCTCAAGTAAGGGTAGACGATATTGGTGTGGTTTTCCATAACGCTAAGTGCTCGGCCACATCGCAGCTCCCTGCAGACGACCTCAGCCTCAGTGAGGGTGAAATTTTGATGACATACACCAGTCCAGCCACCAAAGTAATAAACTTCAAGAAGACCGGAACAATTGCTTCCTGACAGTCTCACATAAACTTCTTTAAATAGACATTAAAAAAAAAAAGATGTTGTTAATCACCAAGCCTCTGCATATTGGCTTAAATATTTGTACATTGAATGCAGATAAAATGATGGTTTTAAAACATATGTCCCAAATAAATGTGGAATTATTGCCTTGTTTCAGACTTACTATTTTTAAAGGGGATGCTAAAGAAAAATCTCCCCTTGGGGGACCTAAACATAATATAAATCTTAACCTTTTGTTTTTAATCTCCATTCCTTCCTCTAACAGGTCAGTAGCCTATCTCTAATGTGATAACTATGTGTCTGGGCAGAACTACTTCAGTTTATAGATGAGTCTCTTCCATTCAAAAGCTCCCTTCTATGTCAGAAAAAAGGGCCTTTTCCCCTCAGATACCTAGTTGTATGTTTTATTTATTTATACAATGCATAGGCTACCCAAACTCCCAGCAACTCCAGTTTAAAAAGTAAAGGAGAAAAAACCATACAAAAATGTCATAGGTGGTCTGAACTAAATGTATGAACCAAAAACCCATCCAACAGGAGGTCAACCATCACCCTGCCCCAAAGCCTGGGAAGATAGCCTGGGCTTCAACAGCTTCCTAAAGATAGTCAGAAGTGGGAGCTATCTGGATCTCTGGGTGGTTATCATTCCAGAGGGAAGGTGCTGCAACAGAGAAGGTGCGCTTCCCGGATCCCACTCAATGACACTGCTGAATTGATGGAATCTGAAGTGCACCTGGTCTGCCCAATCTCATGGGACAGTCAGAAACAACCAGAGACAGGTGGTCACTCAAATAACCAGACCCTATATTTATATAGGAGGATTCTTCGGTGTGAAGATCAATTAAACTGTGAAGGACCTAGCTGAGTTTTGAAGCAGTAGAGCCTGAACTCAAATACGCTTTGGATACACAAATGTTTTGGACTTAGCAGGTTGACAACTCAAAACCTCCATGCTTGAGAATTTTGTTCTATACTCTCCCTTGCCCCCATTCCTCCCCTCCCAAA